AGATTACCTTGCATTAATAAATGTGCAATTGTACTTATTCGTCTTTTCAGTTTTTCTTGCAGTATATTTACATTTGTCAATATTTAACGATGATAAATAATAAATAATGAATACAAACGTTTCTTGCTCAATCATCATTTTAGAAAATCTGTTTGTGAAAAATAAATCTGTTTGATCATGGTCTCGAATTCCGCTCCTTGATTAGGATGAATTTCAGGCATGAGTCCGGGAGTGACTCCGCCACCCACGTATTCAATTTTCCGAAAAGTTCGGATGTTTGGTCCATCGCTGCTTGTGAGTCTCGCAGTTGCACAAAGCCACGGCATGACGTCCAAGGTGTTCCATCGACAATAGCGGAATATGGCATGGAGAAGAAATCCCCACGGTCCCCTCTGCCCGTTGATCCCGTCGATTCACGGTTCACTTAGTTCGAGCCTTCCTTCGACATTTGTCGTACAACTCACTTCGATGTTGTTACATAACGATTCACTGTCCACGAGACGTTAAACCCCACCCGTCGTCGGTAAACCGGCATACATTTTCCTCCGGACTGTGCTTGATCGTTCGTTCACGTAAATTTTATGAGTAGTCCATTTCGTTCTCTTCTCGAATCTAGTAGTAGTCCGTCGGGGCTACCACCATGGGATTCCGTCTCGCGCCGCGGCCGGTTCTGTCCATAATTATAGCCCCAAGCGAGCTCAATAGAAAGACGTTTTAAATGACGGTGAGGCATAAAAGACTTGCGTGAGAAAAATAGATCTATATGTTATGAATGCTATATAATTAATATCACAAAAGCAAGTTTAGAAATATTATATTATCCCTTTCTCTTTCGAACGTAACGTGCAATGTAATTATAAAATATCTCAACATCTCGTTTAATAGACGGATAATTTCTGCGTTTCATTCCGCGTAATCGTTGTGCCTTCCCTATAGCTTCACTATTCTATGCCATTGTTGAAACTAATACGAGAATAATCCGTGACACAAAATATTCTAAAACAGTTTGTGTTTCCTCGAGGCTGCTATCGTCCAGGTTACTTCGAGCTGGCCCACGTGGAGTCACGTGGCAATAACTCTAAAATTTGATTGCAGCAGACACCGGGATAGAGGCTACCCCCAAGGCAACCGTGGTAATAGGCCCTCAACCCTCGCACCCACGCTCTTTCCGTTCTCGAACTAAACTCCGGACCAACTCCGCCACCACTACGTCGTAAATAAAACGAAATTGTTGACCGGTACCTTTCGGCTGGTTAAGCGTTAAACAAAGGCCCACGGGATGTCGGGCGCCGTATCTTTGATCTCTGTTTGCCGAGGCATGCATCACCCGCGAGATAATCAGGAATAATTATTTGTTAGATAAATACGATCGCAGCCGGCGATAGCGCGCTAAATTTATGATGGACCGCTTGCCGTTTGTAAATGACGTAGAGGAGAGAGCTTGTTCGCGCGCGCCGAGCTATGAATATCGCCACGCGATTTCGAAGCGCGGACAAAAGTCGGGCGTATGTTAGAAGAAATTCGCGCCAAGAACTTGATCTAATCGATGAATCATATCGTACATACTTTGTTATACATAATTTTATATAAATATTTAATTAGTCAATTTAAGTATTTGAGTTATTCCGAGTTTCTGTCAAGCTTCAAAAACTTTGAAAGCCTAATAATAAAGCGAAGAGAAATCTTGTAGATTAGATCTCTCACGTTTCTCGGTTCGAAATGACTTTAATATCGTGTTACCTGCACATGTATATTAGCGCGTGTGATGTACATATATACGTATGTGTGTCGAGAAATAGACATGCCACTTGCCGTGTCCAATTCTTGCGTAACGCTCGACTCTAATAGCCTTTTCCGATCTTCCCAATGATCGAGCCCCGCGAGAGAATCGTTGTACTTCTATTTTGCATTCCTGGCATACCAAGCGAAATCGATGCGTCCGCATCGTCTGCATTGGTGCGTCGACGGAGGGTGATACTCATGCGGATATTTTCAAGCACAGTGGATGGCTAAACGAGCCCGCTCGATTCTCACGGTCGTCTTAGCCGCCGGAATCCGTAACTTTAGACGTATTATACCTTCTTTCTATTTTTGTCAGTCGCATTTTTTTTCATTTTGCTTCTCTTTATGCAAAAAAGGAAACGGCAATAATATATAAATTTTGTTTCATAGAGAGAAAGAGAGAGACGAATAAATAAGAAAAAAATAAGAAAAAGTCAAAAAAATATTGCAAAAAGAATTATTTTTCGATTCCTAATCTAACTACGATGCATCCTGAATTGATATCGTTTTGAAATTACGTATAAAAAATTATTTTTTGTAAAATTCATGAGGGAGAAACTTATCAATATTAGAATTATTCTATTTTTCATCGATCCGATGTCTGAAAATTTCTAGAGGGAATCTACTATGGTCTACCGTGTCGTACATCAACGTCTCGCGGAAGGTGGGCGGACGTCGCGTCAGCGGCTGACGCCCCGCGAAATTGAATCTAAAGGTCCGAGTGTATCCTCGTACCCCCAGTCCTCCCCACAGAGCTGCAGGGAGGTCGCAAATCATCACCTCGCTACATTTACAACGTTAGATAGCCCAAGATTACAGTCGTTCCAAGCTCGACTGTGGAATACAAGGCGCCTCTCGCCCTTCGTTTTCTTTCTTCGCTCGGGATATTACAGCGCGCCTTTCGCGAAAGCGATCCTCCGCCGTTCTCGCGAGCTCGTTGCCTACTTAAGTGAAACAATGTGGTCCCTTGGCGATCGGCCGCGCGAGCAACGTCCAGCTCGTAAATTATCCGCCGGCGGGGACTAATGAGCTCGTGATTGTAGGGACCGGGGATAAAAAAGGGCGTTCTTGCGCGATGACGCTCGCGCTGGTGATATATCTCGGTTTCGTTGCTGTCCAAGATGAATACGCGAAATCGGGATGATTTTTCTTCCAGCAAGTCAAGGTGGAGATAGATTCTGACCGACATTGGCTTCGAAATGGAGCGCGTGAGTGCGTCGGGTTCGATTAGATTTAGAAGAGTGACGTGGGTCCGAAAGGATTCTCGAAATTATTGTTGTTTCCAAAACAAAGATTCGTATGTCTTATCATCGTCGTTCGGCCGGACATCTTTAAGCCGTTTTTACGAGATGTAAAATATTACTTACTTCTTTATTTGAGAAGAAAAGTCCCACGCAAACCCGGTGCACCCACCGTATGGTTCTCCATTCTTGGATCTCCCACTTGGAAAGATTAAGAAAATTCACCGTATTACGCGACCTCGCGCAAAGATCTCGGTCCATTATTTACGAATGATGATCTCGAGAGGATCAGCCGTGTTCCGTTTGCCGATAGGATTTGCTCCCGGCAAGTCAAACAATGCACCCTGAAGCGCGCCATCGGGACCAAGTTGTTCTCTCTCCTTTCTCTCTCTCTCTCTCTCTTTCTCTTTCTCGTATTTCTCTTAAAACGACGCGAGCGTTCACGTGTGGCAGCAGAAAGGATTGGAGGTGGGTATTCCCTTGTCTTTTTTGTTCATGAGGGACTCTGGTCTCGCACGAAATTCCAGACATCTTCTTCTCTCTTTTTCTCGCCCATCGGCCTTTCCATGTCTTCTCGCGCGGTTCGCAAACCATACGCGAGCACATACAACTCACCCTTTCTCGGTCGTCTTAAGTCGTTCCCGCGTTTTTACATTCTCGACGAAATCCCCGCGGCTTTGTGCCCGTTTATTACGTTTGCCAACCAAATGATGTCATTAGATATACTTAGGCCGGGTTTTATTGTCGTCTTTTACGCCGGTCGAACGGCTTCCGTGAAACGAATTCGTGCTGAGCGTTCACGACTCATCGGTTATCACGCCGAAATTCGCTCGCCATCTCGCTCACGTTCTTTGGACAGGCGGCCTTACAGCCTTCTTCTTCTTCTTCTCACGACCACGTGAGAATCAGCTATACTGTTTTATTGCCTTTATATTGCCGGATATTTCGAGCTTTCCATGTGAACTAACCACGTGTCCTGTATACGCGTTTTTTTTACGATAACCCTTTGTGCGTTACATGTCTCGAATGCGACGAAGTCTAAGATATCCATGGTGAACCATGGGTTTTAAAATACGAAGAACTAACACATCTGCCGGATCAATGATTACGAAGCTAGTGAAAACAGTTGAAAAAATTAAACATTGTATATAGTGAGAGTAGAACGTTGTACAAATTTTTATATCTCATGATAACACGACATGTTCAAGAATATTTATAGATACCTTTATCTTTGTTACATAATCTTTATCTTCATGCTCTTAATAAAAATTCACAGTAATGAACTTTTTAATACTCGATAATATTTCTTGAAATTACAAAAGTGTCACTATCTCAATTATCTAAAATAAAATTAAAAATTATTTATATATATATATATTGAAGTTAATTATTATTAAAATAATACTAACATCACTTTATATATTAATATTTATATTTTAATATTAATAATGAAAAATAATTGGAAAAAAAATTTGGCCCATGAGGGGATCGAACCCGCGACCTTCGCGTTATTAGCACGACGCTCTAACCAACTGAGCTAATGAGCCAACTGACTGCCTTTTCTAACTTTAACTATTTCAAGTAAGATCATGACATATTTGTTACTTAAATGCAATTATTAAAAAAATAATTTATTAAATAATAATCACAAAACGTATAAATAAAAATACATATCAATCGATAACAAAATAATAGAATATAAGCGTTCAAGATATTTTGTAAAGTGACTAATGTTCATTTCTATTAATGTCGATTAATTTTATTTTTAGTTTAATTTATCTTTTTTTTAATTCTTAGAACGAAAAAGTAAATTAAGCCGAGATTAAAGTTAATCTACATTGGTAACAGAAATAGACATAAGAAATTTAATGCTAGAATTGATAGTCTTCTTTTTTCAGAAACACATCTTGTGACATTTTTGGCTATCAAAATTTATTAGATAAATTTACAAGTGCAGATTAAATTTACAACGACAAAATGCCGACTGAATTACCCGTTGATATGTTAAATAGACCTTTGCTAGAGATTGTTTTTAGAAGGAAAAATAATGCCTTATTCAAGAAATTAGCGCGAAAAACTCATTTCAACGTAAAAGAAGTCGAAGGTTATCTAATAAAATAAAATAAAAGAAATATATTGTTATAATCTTATCTCATAATAACCTTTTCTTTAACTTATCAATTTAAATATCCATTAAAATATTAATTCACCAAATTAATTTTATAGCGTTAGCTGTTATACATAGAAAAATAACGCAAACTTTGGATCCTATGACAAGATCGGTGTTTAGAGACATTTTACATTCTGGCTTGGATTTTACTGAAAATATTCGGCATCTATATATCGACAGAATTTTCTCTGTGTTTGATAAAAAGAATGTTCTGCAAGTATGAAAAATTAAAGCCAATTATCCATATGTTTATGATAATTAATGATGTTTATATCAGTAGATTCCCCTGGAACAATGGATTGAAGGACTCTCCATAATCCTTCGCGGCAACCTAAATGAAAGAATACATTTCGCTTTTAGTGTAATCTTTCCTCTATAATTATTCTAAGTATTTAGAATTTAACATGTAAATTTTTTATAAATTTAAAATTATTTATTTTTGAAAAATACGAAAAAGTCAAGCTTGAATTATTATTATTGTAATGTTTATAAAATGCAGATATACGATTTTATGCACACTAATAAATTGAAGAAGGAACAGATATTTCCGACAATGCGAGGTTGTTTGATCAAACTACAAACAGACGAAGATCCCGATGAGGCTGTAAAGGTTAATGAATTAATAATAGTAAATTCTGATCTAGTATTACTAAATATATGTTCAATTATTAATGATATTAAAATTTGCATCTTTCAAGCACAAAGTTTGAAATAATAGGTGTCTCAAAAAATTATTTATTTTAGGATTTGATTGATTCACTGTTGAAAAAACTCGACGTCGATCGCGATGGTGTAATATCCGAGGACGAATTTCACAGGGCTGTAAAAGAAAGAAATCTACTGCTGCTAGAATGTATGGGACCCGTGTTTCCGTCTAGAGTAGCGCGACGAACATTTTTAAGCACATTTACAGATCGGCTTGGACAATTCTAATTCCTACGTTTCACCGAGTAAGTCATTGTTTGTACAATTGCATACTTGTCAACGTTGATCTTCGTTTTTGTCGTAATTGTCGTAACAATAATCTTATATAATAAACGTACAAAAAAGCTATTTGAATTATATTGTGAGAAGCTATTCAAGCTGGAAAACCCAAAAGTGCATCTTGATGCAGTAGACAGGCAAACGCGCCAAATCAGACAGAAAAATCTTCCTGAACGAGTAACGCTCGAATAAATTTTCGAGATCGTCGACGCAACGTACGGCTTTTACGATTCACCGAACGATGGCAATTGACTCGTTCGTTTTCTTCGCAAACAATCGCTAATGGACCGCGCTAATACCACATCCTAATCGCATCAGACTGCATCTGCGATATGATCGTCAGTGGGCGAACTGAATCGATCGCTTCATGAATCCTCGCGGTCGTGATAAATTTTATTACTATGATCAGCTATGAATAGATGATCGAGCCTTATATCCGTGTGCCATTTAACGTAATGCGCCGATCAATGATCGCGATTGCGTTTCGCAATCTGTTATTATTTAAACACTGTAAAAACATGGCGAGATAAAAGACGATACGATCTGAAAGCGCGAAACGGGAAAGGGGATTCCGAAGGATGTTCCTCCATCACGTGCATCGCATGCCGGTCCACCTGCTCAGCGATCTCTCGATTAATAGAGACCGCTCGTGAGATACGGAACAGATATAGACCTTTCTTCGCTCGCGAGACGGATCGCAACCCCACCACCGCAAATCGCACGAGCGGTCGTACGCGTTACGAGGAAGAAAAAATATAATGAATGTTTGAGGGATCCCGCGGACGGACGAATGGCCCGATCCGCGTTTCAAGCAGCTACAACAACAAATTAAACGAGAAAGTCTCGAGGCTTTCGTCGGCTCGGCCGACGTCTCTCGTTGCCTATGGTTCCGGCTACAATGCGTGGGCGTAGGGTACACAGTACCGAGGTGTATGGGCAATGCGTATTTCTTCCCTGGCGATGGTGGGAGCGAGCTGGAACGATATTGTGTAAAGAGTATAATAACGTGCGTATGAAAGGCCGGATCCTTTGTGGGTAGCCGACCGTGTCCTGAAAGGATCTTCCAGGATCTGCTTGCGGGGGTGGCGGGGAACAACGAGAGGGGAGAACCACCGAAGGTTAGGGGCACCAGCTGAGAAAACACGCCCGTGGCGTGTCGACGAGATGTTCACGTACCAGCGCGCGCGCGCGCGCGCGTGTGCTCGTCGACGAAAAGAGGCGGACTAGCGAACCGATCTGATCTGATTTTTGGGAACGATCGTCCCTTAAATTTCTTTAAGGGAACACGATGGAAGAGAGAGAGAGAGAAAGCGCGGGTTTATTTCATTCGCGTTTCGGAGCTAAAAGCGCCGCTGTTTCAACAGACTAACTTATTATATCTAGTTAGAGACAAGGCTTACGGTTGCCGTATATCGGCGTGTAATCCGGCATACGCCTGGGGGGACAAAAACGATCACGCTGACAGCCGAGAGCGCGAGACTCGGCTAGGAAACGAATAAATTATAATCAGAGTCGTGCAGACGCAAAGAGCGATGGTGATTGCGAGCCGGTAGCGCCGGGAAATTAAGTCCGCTTGTACTCCGGCTTTCGCCGGCGAGTCTCTCGCTACTCTCGAGCGACAGATTTTATTAGGGATGAAATATCTTTAGCGAGAGAGATATCGAGCAAAAACTTCAATCAGACTTTAATAATAACGGCTACGGTATATAAAAAGGATATAGACGGTAGACGGTGACCAGCGACAGCGCCATAGACGAGTCGTTCCTTTTTCTTGCGAATGTTTCGCAATTCATTGCTCCCTCGTGGCGAGTCTCTATCGTGTTTGACGGAGGCTGAAATTGCGGCGGCAGTATGTTACCACGTAATCTAGCCACCGTCGGCACGGAATAAGCCGCAGAAGCGGATCCGTGAAACGGCGGAAGCGGCGTATGCAACGCGGTTGAATACGAAACATAAATTATAATCAGCCTCGGATCAGGCGCGGGATAGCCGTGATTACAACGGGGAACGTGATGAGACTCCGGGCGATTCGATTTGCGCGGTCCGCGCCCACGCATCAAAGGGACCGACGACGGGATCACGAAAATTCCCCGTGAGTCTCTTTCCAGCGATAAATCCGAGGAGACTCTCGGTTGACCAGTCCGCGCTTAAAGCCAGCAGCACGGTCTGTTAACCGAATATTCATACGAGAAGAAAGAAAATTCTTAAGAAGAGAAAACGCGCGACCGATAGATCGAATTTATTTCCTAAACCGTAAAGGTGTTATCCTTTCCCTGTTATATTTATATTTAGTAATCCTTTGCATTAATCAAAATGTATTAGGCTCCTTCGAGATTTAAAGGGATACTTATTTAACTTTAGCAGATTCAACGGCAGATGCAACACGATACGAATTTACACGGACCTGTCGACAAGTTTAATTCCCATTCGGGTTTTATTTGCAAACAATGCGCTATAAGGTCCAACTAAAGCCGTACACATTGTCAGAGCGCAACGATCGCAAACATCGAGATTTACAGCCGTGAGCCGTATATCCCACGCTTGTGCGCGCAAGGTTTTGCGAGCGCCGATAAATTTAATTAAAGCACGTGCCGATAACTTGGAATACGCGCGTGTGTTCAATGGAGGTGAACGCAAGAAATCGAGCGGGCGTGCTCGATTGTGCAGTCCGAATTGCGTCCATAAATATCGACGGCGTCGGCGTTATGCGGTCTAGCCGGGGCCGTTTGCCGGAGCAACGTTTCGTGCGCGGAATGTTCAATGAAGCATGCAGATGCGTTCTGCCGCGTGTGTGCCAAGGCACACACCACGTGCGTCGTCCGGTTACGAGAGAAGCGGGGAACCGCGGCATGAGATCATCCGCGCGAACACGACACCGCATCTTGTCAGGAACAGCGGGATCTGCCTTGACATGGGTATCGGAACGACGAATGAGGTTTCGAAGATTCCGCTAACGAATTCGGCAATTTATTTGTTTTCGTAGGCAGGCACAACTGCCCCTGGCGGCACAACGGAAGCTCGAATTACTTATCGCGTGTATCATTTTCGAATTTACTGCAAAGGGTCTGTGCGCAATATTATCCCGAAAATATTCCATTTCCATGTGTTCGTTTCCATAAAAATAATCTTTCGGGAACATAAGGCAATTTTATGAAAGATAGTATCCAATAGAGAGTATATTTCGCGTTGCGGTCATGCCATAATTAATCCAATTCCACCGACGCAGTCGGCCTCGCGAAATTTCTTTTCTATTCGAGGTGGTTAGCTCAGCTTAGCAAACCGAGCGAGGGAACGTCAGCGAGCAGCGATAGGATCTTTGAAAGGCACGGCGGGTAACGCCCGCGTCGTGCCACGCGACTAGACAGATTTCGGGGAGGGAAAGAAAGCAGACGTCCGTCTCTTACACGTGAGTCGAGCGTGACGCGTACGCGCCTTGACGGACGGCCATATTAAATCAACTGCCCGGCTCTTCCACTCGTTTGTTTCTCCTTTCAAGCCGGATTCAATTTTCTCCACGGCGCCTTGCAAATCGCAAGGGATATAACCGCGTCGGCCAAAATTTACAAATACGATGTCGGACAGAATGCCCGCCTTTCGAGAAGGATAGGGATCAGTGGTTGTCATTCATCCTTTCATTCGCATGACAATGTAGCGCGAATTTCCATTCTTAGCCGAATTTCCATTCTGCCCTTCTTAACTTTCGTATTTACTCATACACCATAGATTATCTTTATTTATTTAAAAAAGTATATAAAAAGTTTTTAGATTGGTTTTAAAGAATTGCTAAGAACATTCGGCTTTAGAGGCTGTGAAAAACTGTATCATTAAATCTCGTGGGATTTATAATGGTGCTCTGCAAGAAGCGCGAGATATCACGTGTATTTGCTGAATAGCCCGACGAGCTCGATTACATCCGATTCAACAGATAGCGATCCAATTAATGGTCGCAAAAGAGAGGGGAGATTAATATTGATAGAGGCCATCGTTCGTTCTTCTTGGCGACCGTAAGATCCGGACCAGCTGTAAGATAATAGCGGTGCGCAGACCGAAGAGCTCAAGGGATCATAAACTATCTTAAGGTGTCGAGTTTGTCACGGTCATGCGAGATCGAGTTTTCAAAACAGGATTAGGCGTTCTTCAGATCTCTCAAGAGCGCGGTGTACATCATTCTCCTCCTCTTCCTCTCTGTCGTGACCCTGCGAAACGTGTGTCGTTGATTTTTTTTCAGTGATGTTCTAGCGAAGATCCACTTTCTCTCACATCTTCGTGCCGCGAGATTGGTCGAGGATTATTCACATCCGGTCATCTCTGCTTAATTTTTTTCTTCTTTTTCGACCGATCTCGCGTCCACATAGGAGCATAGGAGAGATATCGAGTGGTTTATTGATCTATTTCGTAAACGTCTATTCAACCAAATGGTTCAGCGGCTCTTGCTCTTGCATTGTTCGGTTTCTCTCGGATGGTCGCTTTTTTGATCGGATTTGTTCGAATGAGATTCTTCCTTTTTTTTATACTTTCTCTTGCGATCCTTGTCAGTAATGAAATTCATAGTAATTTTAATACACGTCTCATTTATTTTTTAGCTCATCGTTAATCGGTAGAAAATAAAAATCGCAGAATTCTTTAAGTACAATAAATACGCGTTTTGACACGAAGAAAGTAACATCACACATCGTGAACTAACTAAGAATATGTCATCACGATAATTCATTTTATAATTGCGATCTGCGAATGGAAGATTGACTATTGGCTCTACCGATTTATTTTCCATCATTTCTTTCGACATAATCCAACGCTCGCAGAATACTTTATTATCCTGTCAGGATATCCATAAGGAAAGTGGCGGTCCACCGTGAAGTAGGTCGATCGTCTGGCCATAGAATTTAAAACATCTAGGATTAGCATAATCAAACGGTTAGGAAACATTTTACGACGGTTTTCAAGGAATC